AATTGCTCTTCGGACTTTTTGGCTCTCTCTTGGTACTGGACTCAGACGGGTGCGGTAAGAGAGAGTGCGGTCGATACTACACAAATCTACTATCACTTAAAACCTATTGCTCACGCGAAAGTCACCGTCCATGCAACACCCTGCTGTGGTGAATATCGTCAAACTGTCATCCGGTTGATTTATGTGAAATACATAACGTCTTACGGTTTTACTTAACAGACATCACTTGTGGCCAGACATACCATCGATTTGCTGAGTGGTTTTAAAGAAATGTGTTTGTTCTTTCTTCCCGACAGATGCTGTCGGACTCAAAGAAGCAACTCTACGTCAGCATAGTGAACTTCCTTGCCAGCGAACTTTCCAATACCGGCTACTCCGAGGACACAATCGAAAGCCTTGAAGGTAAAACTCTTTTCCTGCGGCGCCCTCATCTCATCCTGTCTAGTCGCTAAACAGTGTTTGGAGAGCGCATTCCATCTTTCCGACGCACAGAATGACAAGATTGACAATCTTCTCACAATCTACGAGCGAGGTCTTAAGGTGACATATTCAACTGCTTATTTGACTGACGTTTTTGTAGGCTTCCCTCTCATCTCCTGCCCCAGCTCCAGCCGCCCAGACTGCAGCGGAAGTTAGTCCTGAAAATAAGGCTGTAGCAGAAAGCCTCAAAACACAGGGTTAGTTTTCATCGCTTACACGATTACTTTAATTCTTTAGGTAACCACTGCATGACGGAGGAGAAATTCAACGAAGCAGTGACATGCTACTCGAAGGCGATTGAATTGGATCCACACAACGCCGTATATTTCTGTAATCGGTGGGTTGTTTTTTTTTGATTGTGACTTCAAAACCCACCCCGAAAAATTGTAAAGTTGGATCGCCTTAGCTGTTTACCACTTCCAGTTGTGTGCTTGCTTTGACCTTGTCCAGGAGCTTTAAATGCACAGCGTTTTGACTTTTTTGTTCAACGCGAGCTGTGGGAGTTTTTGGCAAACTTCCGCAGCTGAAAAAGCTGTATACGGCCGGCGCGTCTACAAACCATGCGAATTAACAGCAATTACTGGTTTAGGATTCGCAAGACAAGCCCGATTTTGTTTGAGCCCCGTATTTCGCACTGCCAAAATAATCCCTACTTATGTATTTAAGTAACATTTTAAATGTACTCTTGCTGTTACAGGAGCAGGTCTTGGAGTTATTTGGACTAGCGCTCAGTCTGACCTAGTCTCATGTTGCAATTAGATTTGGTAAGCTCTCGCAAAGACGTCAAGCGAACATGCTTCTGTTGTGTCCCATTCGGATTGGTAATAGGATTTAATGCTATCTAATAACCTCATAAATGGTCCAAGCCCTAACTGTCATACTAGTTCATATGATTTCCGACTTCTAGGCAAGAACGGGAGAAAGTTGACGTTCTTTAATGTGGTAAGTGTCAGTATAAAGAACTAGCAGTAAAAGCACGAGTCGTAGGAGTAATAATGGGAAGTTAGTTGAAAACCTTACCTGCCGGATGAGGCAGAATCACCTCAGCTGATATACTCATATCCCCACCTGGTATACTGAATTGATATAAAATAGGATATACGTCATATTTCTGAACTATTAGTACCGATAAAGGAATTTGCTAAGCCCTTATGTCTAGTTGACTGCTGGAGAATCTTGCTTCCTACTAAACAGACGATGCTGTGCAATATCTGAGCTAAAACAAGATATTGTAGATGTTGCAAAAGTCCAAAATTTGAGCGCGAAGCGGTGGTAGATATTAAGCTATCATTAAATACAAATTCTTTAACCCTACTGTTTACTAAAATTCCAAATACGTTACGGCTGAATACGAGGTTAACATTTCCTAC